TTTCGAGTCTTCTTCCTCCCCAAACGCTGCCTCCCCTGCCTCTGATTTAATCTTTTCACCGTCACAGCGGCCGATCAAACGGCCTAGTTCACCCGCAAGAATCCCAGTCGACGATCATCACCGATCATCGAGCTAAGAGCTCCCTTCACCATCACCCTTCAGTGTCTCCTATATGCTTTCGACGACGGCGTTCTTCACTGCCGTCCGCTGCATGTTCCGCAAATTGAGATTCCCAATATTAATAACCGTCTCGATGACAGATCGCTTGCGCACCTCAGCGTTCGTGAATGACCGCGTCTCACAGCCAGACGGCATCGTAGACAAGACAGTAGTATTGATTATACGGGTACGGATTTTCCTGCCATATTGTCGAGGAGGGCGTCCATTATGGAATTGAACGCTCGCCAATCGGTCCTTTTTCTTGGTTGAATCTCTCTCCGGTCTGACCATGGCGCATGTTGATCTCTTGGCCCAGGTATTTATTTAGTTCTTCGATTGTTTCGCCGCTTAATATTACTTGATTCTTCAGCAGGGTATTCAATCGCCGAGTTTTTGTCCTTAGCTGATTGATCAGCTCCGATTTCTGCACTTTCCATGTCAGAGCATCATGTAGCTGGCCAGCATTCTCCACAAATAACACCACGTCCTCAGCGACCCTGAGGCGATTAAGCTGTTACCATGAACACAGTGTTGATTAGCGGGAAGCAGCCAGGGTTTCTTCCTTCCTTTCGTTAGCAAATTGATGTAACGGGTGTTGATGTACTGTATTCCATAGCGTCGAACGCTTTCTCGTAGTCGACAGCGTCGACTAGGGGTGCTGGCAGTCCTCCTCGTGTTCGACCATTTGGTTGATGACAAAAAAGCAATCGGTTGTGCTTGGTCTTTGTCGAAATCCCGATTCGTCCAGACTCACTGATGTTCTTTTGACAATGATCCTCCTGAAGAGCTTGTAGACATTGTGAGAACAGGCAGATTCACCGAGAGTTCTTCAGGTCTTCCTTCTCGTTTCTCTTAAACAACTCGATTGTCACTGTCTCATTTCAGCTTGACGCCATCCTTTCCGCTTTTAGAGGCGACTTTTTATTGAAGCTGCCTATTGTGGCTCTTGACGAACCGTCTAACCGCAAGACAGCGGTGACATTGGCGGACTTTATTCTTCTAAGGAGCCCGTCACTTTCGCATCGGCAGGAGAATATCATTGGGCATTTTATCTTTTCTCTGAACATCAGACTTACTGAACTCAAGCCAAGCCACCACATGACGGTTTTACTGTTGCCAGTCCACGACTGCCTAATTGTCGCACAGTTAGTCTCAATATCTGGAGTTAGTCCTCACAACACAACCAGGACGTCAAATTTCTAACAGTTATGCACACTGGTACTAGAATTTACACCGTGCAGATATTTAAATTAATTTTATTTCATAATTTTGCAAAACCAGCGCATTTCGTTTAATTTAATATAATATTCTTTCATATTCGATTAATAACATTTACCATGGTAATATTTTTCTTCGTTTGCCGCCTGATCCATTGTTTGCAGAAAAGTCTTGCGTTTTACTAATTTGGAATAACTCTAGACTGACAGCACTCTGCATCGTAAAAGCAATTCATCTGTTACAAGGATGCACTCATTTGTCTCGTTTTCAACATTTACTTCTCAGACGTATGCAGATCAGTTCACTTAGCTGGTGTATCCCTACTTTTTAAACTTCAGTTTCAGTTCCGTCGGCTCTCACGAGACCTATCTACAATATGAGACCCGCTTGTCTCTTGATATCTGCCATTTCGACTTCATGTCAAAAGCAGGCATTTCTTCTGGTCACATAGAGGGGAAGAGGCTAACTAAAACCTAAACGATGTATAGCTATCTGTCAAATGAAGATTATACAAGAAATGAGGGAGTTGTGATGCCTTCTCAATTTCATCTGGAATTAACTTCTACTATGAAGTCGATGATTGACATCCCATTTATTATTAAGTTAAAACTCGATTCAAAATATATACACGAATATCAGACCCTTTTGCTTGCATGCATGCAGTAGTACGTATATATGCATATATGTTCATACATATGCACATACATTTACTTTAAAGCTTATTTGCATTTGTTTCATTCAGTAGATCCATATAGAAATGACATTTTGTTCTGTAATTATTAATGCAAAGTAACATATGACAGTATAAATAATATGAGAAATAGAACAATAAAAATGTGTTAAATTTCGCCGTACGACTTTTTGGGAAAAATTATCATAAGATGTCTGAACAGCGGTTTTTTCTTTTTTTCATAAATCCCTCGATAATAGGCTAAGTCAAAAGATGGATTTCTTTTTGGACGTTTAAAAACCGTGAGAAATTGGACTCTGTAGATTTCAATCGCACCATTCCTGCAGAAATCACATGAAACTCGTAGTCATCTCTTCAGTTACGACAAATGCCTGCGCCTCTTCTGTTCAAAAAGTTTCAGCTTCACTTGTTCTGATGCTTCTAATTTAAGGAGTTTTTGCTTAAGTAATTTAAAAAGTCGTTCACTCTAATTATAGTTCGATTGTATTACATGTTCATTGTCATCGGTTTTAATCTTCGAATTGTGGTTTCAAATAATTTGTTCATTTTCCATGCTGATGATCTATAACAAATATTTTAAATCTGTCAGACATATCGCAATAACTTGGGCTTCCCATGATCATGGAACAACTGAAAGATAGCAAATATATTGTTTACATGTCTTCTAGAAGGTCATTAGATTATTTAACTACATTTGGTTCGAGTTTGCATATGATAAAAGATGCAATCGTCATGCTTCCTTCACCAAGATGGCTTTTAGGGAATCACAACAGGTAGTTTTCCCAACGAATGGGTGATGAAGCGTTCTCGCTACACTTCCTGTCCTCTGAACAGAGGACGATGATCTTTCACGTATAATGGAAGGTGGGAGAGGTGCATGATGGACGCTGAGAAACGAGAAATAATAATAATATCCTCTTCGCCACTTGGGAAAGCCGGCAAAATAGCGTGGCCTAATTTCTACATCCATTCCTAACACCTCGATCCATGCCCGTTTCCCTTTTCAACACTCAGCTCTCTGCCATACTGAACGAACTGCAACTGCATTGGCTAGGAGTCGTGTTGAGACGTCCAGTAAACAATGTCACGCCTTTTAAACTGAACGACACGATCCCTGGGCTGTGCCGGAAAAGACGGGGACAAGAAGTTGTGGACCATTGTCATAACTGACATTCAAGCTCTGTCTGGGTTTGTAATGTACTGGAAGGAACGTCTGAGCAAATATGGTGTTAAAAATATGGAGAGCAGCAATCAAGGACGTCAAAGTAAGTGGCTAAACCGATAACGGTGACCGCCGTGACAACAACAGCATTTCTGTTGTGATTTGTTTTATCGGATGTTGGCATTGTTGCTGTTTTTGTCATGCGTTACTTGAGAAGCAAAATGATTATGTGCTTTGGTCTGTTAATCTGATTATTAGTCAAATATTCTCTCATGCAGGTTTGCTTTGCAAATTACTGCCATAACTATCAGGTTATGTCTTCTTACTCAAGATCAGACTATGATATTACCGTCTTTTGAAACTTCTCAAGCCAATTCTGCATACATTTCAGAATTTACTTTACTGCTGTTTTGCGTTGTGGCAACCTGACCACTGTCAACCTAGTTCTCTGGAAATACATCGCCTTATATTCAGAAAGGGGGGGGGACGTGTAACTTTCCATTCTTACCTGTGATGAACGGAAATGAATATGCCCCATGTGAGAATAAAAGATGAAACGCTAATAATCGTAGTATATCATTGCTTTAAGAATATATATCATGCCTGCTTAATACCACTGTGAAGAGGATCATTACATAACCACGAGGTGATGCGAATCATGGAAATTTACGGACAGTCGATATTCCTATGTTTACGAACTTTGCTTTTTCCTCCGCTTTCAACAGATTCTCTGGTTACTCAAATATTGTCCATCTTACTTACGAATGGCCACAAAAAGCACCATGAACATTGACACAACTTCTTTTTTCTCTGGTAATGAACTGGATGTGTTGTCAGTCGATTTTCGGTCTTCAGCAGCTTCTCACGTTTTCACCGTGAACGGCATGATGTGATTTTTTTGTTTTCATCTAATCATTTCTTCATTGTGAAATCTGTGCCTGCAACATGGGCGGCAAACATGACTCACGATCAGGTGATTATCCCAGGTCTGCAGTGAACGAAGACAATTTCCTCGTGCTGCTCCCGGCGTTTCGTTTCATCGTCTTTGCAGCTGTTTTGGTTCCTTTCCGTAGAGGCAGCTTACTGTGGCTTGTTGCGAACGGTACAGATTTCATTGAATTCCGATACGCCACAATTCAATACTCTGCGCTTTCGCTACAGCCAGCGTTGAGGCTAACTCGGCCGAGGTTTGTGCAATCATTGGCAAATTTTTTGCTGATTT